TGACCCGCCGAATGGAAGCGGAGAAGAGTCTACTGGAGTGGCAGGCACGACAACGCCTTTCTCGAGCGCGCAACTCGAGACACAGGCCGTGCTTTGACTTTGTCCCCGGTGAACTGGTGTATTACTGGCGGACACAAGACTCGAACAAGGGACGGCGCCAACCTGGAGGCAAACACGGGCGCTTCCTGGGACCAGCCCGGGTGCTAGCTACAGAGTCGCGACAAGGACCTACTGGAGAAGTTCGTCCAGGAGGAGCCATCTGGCTGGTGAAAGGCAGAAGTCTCCTGAAGTGCAGTCCGGAGCAGCTCCGGAGAGCATCCGCCCGTGAGGAAATGGTGGAGGCTATCGCCTCTGCGGACAACCAGGCGACTCCCTGGACATTCCGCTCGGTGGCATCCGAGATCGGAGGCAATCGCTACGAGGACCTCACAGGGGATCTCCCCAGTCTTCAGGAGTGGCGGCGAGCGCAAGAGATTGAGGAAGAGGTCCAGCCCAGCCGCTTTCGAATACGACACAAGCGACCTGCAGAAGGACCTCTAGACCTACAGGACGACGCGGACCCCGAGGAGCTCCCCGAGGCAAGTGAACCGTCAAGTTCAGCAAGGCGTCCCCGACTACGAGCACCTACCGGCGAGAACCAGGCAGCCTGGTGGTCTACTGTTCCCGAAGATCAGTGGCCACAGCAGCGAGCAGGGTACTGGGATGATCAGTTCTCAGCTGTGGCTCTGGAAATTGAGTTCCCAGAGTCAGAGCGAGGACGACGCAAGGCCTTCCAGGACCTCGCTGGCTATTTTGTGGGCAGCCTAAAGCGTCGGGCAGTGGAACTGTCCGAAAAGAAGATGACTCAGGAAGAACGAGAAGCCTTCAGCAGTGCCAAGTCGGTGGAGGTCAAGAACTTCGTGGCCTCCAAAGCCTTCGAGGCCCTCCCTGAGCATCTGAAGCCAGATGCCTCGCAGGCTATAGGGATGCGGTGGATCCTGACTTGGAAGCTGAAGGAGGACGGCACTCGCAAGGCCAAGGCGCGTGCTGTCCTGCTTGGCTACCAAGATGGTAGCTACGAACATCGAGCTACCACGTCACCAGTGATGACGCCTTGGGGACGCCTTGGCCCTTAAAAGGGTTGCTACCTTCAAAAGCAGGCCTTATATAAGGGCCATTTGGCCTTTATGGGTCATTTGGGGATATAGAGGTCATTTGAAAAGAAGGAAATGGTATAATCCAACAATGAACAGAATTCATCAAGCAGAAGATATGCACACAATATTGTGCAACCAACACCGTTCGTACAGCTGGTGCTGCACTTGCACAAACTTGACCCAAGAACATCGTGAACAAGGAACCTTGTAAGCAGAAGCTTGAGCAGAGCATATAGCATGCTTGAGCCAATGAGGGTTTAGGATTTCACCGAAGAGCATCGTGAGCATCGAAACTTCAACAAAGAAGCATGGAAGCTTGAGCCGAGCACATGAGCATTATCGTTTTGAGCCAAATATATGTAGAGGATATTTAGGGTGCGAGGGGTTAGGTTTGTAGAGTTGGGAAACCCACACCCGAAAGCCCAGCACCCCGAGCCGGAAATCCCTGAACTCGACCCCTGAACTCCCTGAAACCCTCGATGGCTCGGTCTTTTCTCTTACACATACTTCAGAAGCTCCGTCTTCAGGGTCACCAAATTCCTCTTCAGCACGTTGCAGGAGGCATTTGTATGGGAGCATTTGCGGAACATCTTCATGCTCCAGCGGACAAAATCTTCATCCATGAAGCAGGCGTCATACGCAGGATTTCGCCTGCCCCCATGACCCTCCAAGAGATGCTGTAGAAAGTGGAATTTCGGCCTCATTCTGAAAAGGAGCTTTCCTGCCTCGTGTGCGGTTGTCGCCAGGCTCAGATATCCAGTGAAAAAAGCTTCGAAAGCACTGCGGTTTGCTCCCATGCCTCATCGCTCAAGAAGCAGCCACATCCAAAGAGGAACTCGCAGATATGATTGGCAACCCACACGACGCCTGCCAAGCCGTCGTAAGGCGGCGGTGGCGGTTTCTCCAGTAAGAAACTCGCCAACCAAGAAAGGAAGATAGCAGTATCGGCTGCAGAGCCTTTGAACTCAGGACAGTCTGCCCACCCCAGGGAATTCGTCGAAAGCTTCTTGATCGAAACTTGCTTCTTCATCTGCTTCGCGAAAATCCGGACAGCTGCAACGATTTGTTGCAATCTAGCATTGATGTTTCGTCCGGGAAACCAGTGCTTGCCGGTAGCAATGATTTTCAGAGCTGAACCCACCAAGTCACGGCCCACGCCCAAATGAAAGGTGTGCATGTAATCAATCCGGATCATAGACAGCGAGAAGTAATGAAGCTTTGCATAAGCAGGCTCCTGTTGCCAAGGCAGCGGGCAGTTCTCATCTTTATGCATCGTTCCCCGCCACCCAGCTGCTTCTGAAACATCAGTGTACACAGTACTGAAGTCCCGCCGTCCCATGCTGGCTTCACAAAAGAAGCAAACCTGCGTAGTTGAATAGGAACTACACAAATTTTAACTAGATTCCCTCAAAGTCCGAGCTCCTGCGCTTATATTTTGTGGGCCTGGGAGGTTTCTCTAAGGTTCTTAGGCTTCTTTAGGATTATATAAGCCCCTAGAAAAAAACCGTACTATATAATGTAGGTTAATGCATGAACCCAACATAACAGACTTCGATCCCTTTGTGCCATGTTTGGGCGCAGCACCTGTTCGGATCCTGGCTTGCGGCTGAGGTTGAAGGCCTGGACCATCTGTTTCAAGTCTCCTCTGAATCCAACAGGAAGGAAATAGTATACCTGAACAGGGACGAGATTAGGGTCAAAGATCTTTACGGGTTTTGTGAGCTATGTTTTCTTTCGATACCAAGGGCCTCATCACCCACCTGCACACCTTGCGTGCTCAGTTTGTTCAGATCAGCCATAACAGCCTCATTCAGCGATTGAAGTGTTAGGTTGATCTTGTCCCGCACGAGGTAGCTGTGCACCATACAGGAATACATAATGTTGCGGGAGGCTTTGGAATCCATGCGGCATTTGGAGAGGTCTGCTGTCCTTAAACCCTAAACCCCAAACCCTAAACTGCCCTAAACCCTAAACCCTATAAAACCCTAAAACCCTAAAGGCCTAAAGCCCTAAACCCTAAACCCTAAATTTTAAAACAATCCAGTTTCCACGATGCCAACATCCACGAAGAACGGTTCAGTGTCGCCTCATCACCCCAGATCACTATTGGAATCGCCCGATGGTACAACTCAGGGTGTCCATCTAGCAAAGGAATAGTCAACTCTTGTAGTGTTGCCTCCCAATACCGCTCCAGGGCGGCGCTTTCGGGGATCATCGTGCTCAAGAACCCTTCTTGCAGAAGGCACCTCGCCTTGGATCAGGGTTTTGAGTTAAGCACGGCACACTATATGTATTGGACTTTATATAGGTTGAGGATTTGAAACCGTCATACCCAAAGATAATCCCACATGCATCGAGAAACGAGGTTGGAAGGAAGCAGCACTGGGAATGCCTCAATAATCTCTTCCCCCAGAGTGTCCAATGCTGGTGCATTAATCCATGTGAGCTCGCAGTCGAAAGCCAGTCCTGTTCCAGATAATCGGGAATGCAGCTCGGCTTCTCGTAGAGGCCTGCTCTGGTATCCGTCCAGCAGCCGAGAGCCATAGGCATTTCCTTTGGGTTTTGGTTTGGTTTTTGATTGTAGGGATACATACTACTTGTAATACATGTTTAGAGAGCATAGGGGTTTAAGGATCATCCAGAATCCCAATAATATTGGCAAAGCACCCAGATCACAGGCAATGGTCAAAGATGTATCGCCAGCACATGTAGCTCGAAGAAGCCTCATGCAGCAGGGCAGGGAGTTTAAGGTCCGAATTCCCGTTCATGTTAAGCAATGTACTTAATTGAGTGTAGTAAAGCGACGGGAAAGTACCCTAAACCCTAAACCCTTAATTAAACCCTATACAGCTTGGGGGTTATAGGTTTGGATATACCAAATTATAAGAAAGTAGCTTCCGGTCGAGGACATCGGCGATCGGCGGCGCTGATGTACTTTTGGCACCTCCAAAGCACCCAGCTTCAGGAATTGGTGACATCGGGTTCTCTGGGTAGTATGCATGCAGCAGTTTTCGAAAGGATTGTTTTGGCCCCAGCACTTTGCTTGGTTCGAGTGCCCACATAAGCAGCCAGAACTACATGTATGCAAGCGACAAATTGGCATGTCGAGGATCCAGCACCCTTTTGGTGCACGGTCTTCAACCCCGGTAGCTAGCCCCTTGCGCTATGGAGTTTCTCCACAAAGCCTTGTAGAGTTTCTCCTAGCAAGAGGATCCCCAAATATGCGAGCCGTGCACATTTACGAACCCAAGACTCCATCCGGATTGTAGCATATTGAAACCACTGAGACCCTAGGCCCTAAACCCTAAGTGCCAATATGCAGCCAACATCTGCAAGCTTCACTATACTCTAGCTACACAGCATTTGCACGACCCACATATACCATTGCGACTCTTAAGAGTGCATCAGGAAACGATGTGGCCACAGACCGCCATCTTCATGATATCACCGGTGCACAGCCACCATGGGTTTCTGAAAAGGGCCCAGGCATGCTGTAGGAGGATTTGGGGCTGGCTAGTTAACAGGCTCGTTGATGCACCAGCAATAGACGGAAAATCACATCAGGTAGCCATCTTGTTGAGCTCCTTCAGCAGGCCTTTGATCTGCCCTTTGCACAAAGAAAGCTTTTGAACCTTGGCTCCCAAGCACCCGATGCCCACTAAGCCCCCACACAAAAGTCGCAATGAACAGCCCAAAACACAACACTCATCGATATCCAAGGCAACTTCCTCGTGGATAAGATCACACTGCTTATCCATTGCATCTGCTTGGGCTTCTGGGTCGAGTTTGCGGAACCTTGGTGCAAATTGGATCATGTGATGATGAGTTGAACAGTGCAACACTCATTTAGTTCAGACTGGGCACGTCTTCGCAAGCTGGTCGAGCCTCTTCTTGTGGCCCTTCACGTCTTTGAGCAACCTCTGTGAATCATCATCAGCAGCATCACCCATATCAAGCACCAGGTCCGTGATGCCGTTGATGTTCTTCTTCAGCTCCTTGCCTTGCATCACACAAACCCGAAGCTTTAGGGTTTATGGCTTTAGGGTTTAGGGCTTCAGGGTTTAGGGGTTTAGGGTTTGGGGGTTTAGGGTTTGGGGGTTGAGGGTTTAGTGGTTTAGGGTTATAGGGGTTTAGGTTAGGGGTTTAGGGTTTAGGGGTTTAGGCTTTAGGGATTTATAGGGATTGCCCGACGAGGATGACGATGACAACGACGACACTTGCAAACTAGCTGCACCACTTGGCATGCTTCTCTTTCGGGCACTTGAATACCTCATTGATCAAAGAGTTGGCTTTGATAGTGGTCGCCGTAGAACCTGCAACCGAGCCCGGTCGTCGTGTCGAGGCTTTAGATCCCGGCCTTTTGCTGCGTGCACCTGACTGGGTTCAGGGTGTAGGCCCCTATAATCCCCTATTATGGAATGAAACCCATCGCTCTGTCTCTCTCTCTCTCTCTCCCTCACTCTCCCTCCCTCGTCCCTTTCTGTTTGTGTATTTTCGGGGGTGTCATGGGCTTTTGTTTATAGGACTGCTATGGGTGACACTTCAAAAAAATCGTTCCCCACCTGCACCGCCTGCATCCTGCAGTGCCAACGCAGCCAACTGCTCCTTGCGCTGGTCGAAAGCCCTCAGGACATCGGCTTTGAGCGGCGCTTGCTGGGTCGCGGCGGGCTTTCTTGTGGAGGAGGCCCGGATCGGCACCGGGAATAGGAGTATCGAAGAATTGCGACCCCGGACGACAATTGGTCTTGAAGTTCTGCTTGACCCTTAGATATTCATAATTGATCTGATCGAACTAGCCACAAGTAGCCCCACACATGTACATGTTCAACATTGAATGCAAGCCGTGCTCCTGAAGTCAGTGCTTTCCACCTGGGTGCGGCCCACTATACACCAATACAAGGTATCGGCAAGGGAATCCGGCGCTTGTTCATCCCGTTCACCCACTTGTGTCGCAATGATATGTTGTATTTTGTGCCTAAGCTGGGCATGCATGGTGCATGAAGCTGAACAGCACAAAGCATGGAAGCTCCCAAGCTTTAAAGAATATGGCTGCCGAAGCACTCACTGAAGAAGTGGGGCTTTCGGCCCATGTCCTTCACGGGGATCTGCGCCCAGATTTTCTCCCCACGAACTCCAGACTCCTTTGTTACCTCGATGCTGCTCTCGCAGGCTTGCATGTTCTGGCCACTTAGCACCCACTGCCGCAAGAGGCGGCGCTTCTCCTCAGAGCACAGCTCCGGAACATTGGAGCCAGATTGGTTGATCACACGCACACACACCCGGCACGTTCTCTCACTCTGCGCACTCTCTCTAGGCTATGCCTCTCGCACTCCCTAGATCAAGCATAGGTTAAAATTGAACTATACCGGAACATCGGCAGTAGCCAACTATAGGTTTAGGGATGGTTTAGGGTTTAGGGAAAGCGAGTTTTGGCTAAATCTCAGTCCCGATAACTGTATACCTAAATTGGGTTAAATATATTAAGATATATGGTGTATAGCCGAGCGACATCCAGGGTGCCTTCCTGCAGCTCCAGCATGCACGGGTAGTTGGCCATGCTTCCAGCTTCGTACAATCGGTTCTTGGCATTCAGAATAACATGAACTCTTCTCGAATCTAGGGGTTCTTGGGGTTTAGGGCTTAGGGCATTTGGGGCTTAGGGTTTCGGGAATAATTAGTGGAGGGATTTGTGCAGCAAAGCGGCGAGCTTGGCATATTCTTTTCGGTGAGTCACAGAACTAATTTTCGGACCATCGTCGGTCTTCGTCTCTGGCATATCCACCGGCGTCTCTGATGGTTTCGGAACGGGCTCGGCTTGGGTCCTGATTCTTGCAGCCAAGCCGGCGGGAAGGCCATCAACCTTGGTTGGGGAAGACCGCGGCGGCGAGTGGAACACGTGCTCCTTGGACCTTGCAGGCGTAGCGATTGGCCTTTCAGCATCTTTTGGTTTCGACTCATTGGGAGCTTCAGAAGCTTCGGGCTGCGTAGCCGTAGCACTGGAACCTTTTGAGTCACTGCTGAGCTGAGACTCCAACACGGCCTTTTCAAGTTCCAACTGCTGCACACGCTGCAACAACAAGTTCAGGTCAGCCCCACCAACAACTTGGCTTGCTGAGGGTCCGATATCGCTCAGGCCGCTCATGTTCGTCTGGGAATCCTGGCGGTCCTTGGGGCTGAGGCCGCGCCCTGCTTGCAATCTGGCTTCAGCATCCACAAAGGTACTTCCAGACCTCAGACCCAAGTGTTCATGTAAAATTGATCACAGCTGGAGCTGAGTTTGCGAGACATCATGCAAGTGTATAATCGTTCATTGCAACCAAAGCACACTTGGCTGTCATTAGCATCAGCATGTGGCGACACCGGTGCATCAGCAGCAGGCTCAGGCACGGCAGCAGGCTCCGGTAAAGCTCTATGATCTCTCAAGTGAGCCTCCAGCTCACTCGACTGAGGAAGTCCTTGCCTCCATAGGTCGTACTCGTAGGAGATATCCTCCCAGTCCTCGTCCGGGATGGCTTCCCCCTCCGGGATGGCTTCCTCTACCTGGGTGGAGTCCTCGTCCAGGGTGGGGTCCTGGGGGATATGGCTTGCTTCTGCGGGAGTCTTGCCCTTGATTCGCTTGGTCGGCGGCTCGTGAACCTCAGCCTCAGGCTCCTGCAGAAAAGCTCCTTTGCGCTTCAAGGATGGAGACTTGGCTTTAGAAGCTTTGGCCTTCGGAGTCACAGACTTGCTGTTGCAACCTTCCACGGAAAGGGCTTCAGACGGGGGCTGCTTTCTGGATTTCTTATCGACTTCCTGGGCTGGGGGCTGCTTTTCGGATTTCATACCGACTTCCTGGGCTGGGGGCTGCTTTCCGGATTTCTTATCGACTTCCTCGGCTTTGGTCTTCTTGCGCTTGGGCTGGGCTTCCTCGGTCTCGGCCGGGGCAGCTGACTCACAAGAGGAGTTCGCGGCGGCTTTCCCGGACTTGGGCTTCTTGGAAGGCTTCTTCAGGGACTCCTGCAAAGCCAAGTAAACAGTAACAGCATCAGCGTAGCTCAGCTTCTCTTTCTTCATCATGTCTTGCAAAGTCATATCCTCCACTCCCACTGGTGTTGTACGTGGGATGCTGGGAGGCTTCCATTTGGAGGAACTTGAGGCATTCCTCTGATCCCGTACTGCTTGCTTGTACTTCAAGCCACGATCCAGAGCCTGCTTCGTGGACTTCATGATAGAAGTCACCAAAGATCTTCCTGCCCTCTGCAGGGAGCTAAAATGGCTTCGCAGCAGTGTTCGATTCTGTAGATTTCAAGAAAGCACAGATTCCACGCATTTTACCGGTCAAGTGGTATGGATATAACGTACATTGGCACATTTTCCACGCGACAACTTTTGGTGCGGAGTGGCTGACACCAGCTAGTCTGAATTTCTTCGCTTGCCCCAAAGCAACCAAAACAGCCCCACCTTGGCACAGCTCATGTATAACTGCATATAATAAGTCCTTGCAAGGGGCAATTAATCCTGCAAGCTTGTGTGAATCCCACACAAGCAGCCGAACTACAAGCCGACCATCTAATTGAGGACTCCAGCGGCAAATGGACCGATGCCAGCTGCAACGTCCTTGCTGGACATGGGGCTGGTCTGCAAGCCACGGACACTCTAAACCCTAAACCCTACCCTATAAGCCCTAAACCATATAAA